GAGAGAGAGAGAGAGAGAGAGAGAGAGAGAGAGAGAGATAAACCCTTATTTCTAATTTTCATGATTGTTAAGTCGGATTTTTGCCGCGCTTTAGTATATTCTCCAAAATACAACCAATTGTCTTTTTGGGACTATGCAACACACGAGTAACTGACACAGCCCGCGTTTCAGTTATGGTATGCAAAAAAACAGCACACCTAGAAGCGACCCACTAATAAGATAATTCATGTGAGTCATACTTAAAAAGCCAAAAGTTACCTGACATGCAGAGTATCTGTAAGGCACTTTCTAGGGATATCAGGACACGCTTCCGACACAATCGAAAGAAACTGCTCAAGTGTTGTAGCAACGTCCAACAAATATTCGATAACACCATCAAGGCGGTCAATGCAATTCACGTCCGAGGATTCCCCTGTCCCGTGGTCCTCCTCAAATTGCCACTGCTGTAATTTCTCTTCATTGTTCCTTAGGAGCTGGAGGCGTAAAGAAAATATAATGCTCACACCGAAAACCATAACAAAATATTATTAAAAATAAATCTGAGACTTACGGCTAAAACGGTTCTCAGGGTAGCGCTTATGTCATCAATAAATTTCGGCTGTAGGGCGACCACAGAACGAATAATATCGATGACGATTTCACGGTTGTCAGGGCAATACATCAATGTCAAGTTAATGAACCGATACGGATCGAAGACAAACTTATCGTGAACAAATCTTGCATACTCTGAATCAGTTAGAAACATGGTCTATGGGAAAATGCATTAGTTTAATAAACATCAATACCGCGTACCTTTGAGTATTTGGGTTGGGAGGCCCGTTGAAAGACGAGAAGCGTTAGTGTTTTCAATTGACGTAGTGACGAGGCAAAACGAAGCAAATTCTTCGGAAGATCTTGGAGTCTTTTAGTGTGTTACCCATATGTGCAGAACAAGACTCACCTCAGTCCGGCTTGAAGAACCGAATCAATGGAGTCGTGGAGTGTAGAACTGTATATTATCTAGTATATAGTCAACTTGGTAAGATATTTGCGATACCTCACACCAAAATTTGTCAAAATCTTCAAGAAGCAGTTGGGAATAGGCAGCTATTATTGAAGATACTTGCAAATTCCAATTATTGAGCTCTTTGTTTGTTGCACCGGGCTTGGGGTGATAAAATTTGAGGTAAACTGTATCTGAGCACCAGTGGGCATCCTAAAGGCTCGGAATTCTAAATAATGCAATTACCAACAACGGGTATTTCTGTGAATTTTTTTTATCTTTCTTAGTTGAGGACAAAATAGACTTTTTCGGAGACTCCATTGCAGATTTTCAGGTCCCAGTACGATAGTCCTAGAAGGTCTGGATAAACCAGTGATACAGATGTATTTACGGATGAAGATAAAGTTGAAATTTTACCTGAATGTTTAGATAGAAAATATTCTGATGAAAATAAGGGAAGAGAAATCGTACAAAACCTAATTGACTTGATTATTCTGTCATGTGGTGAACTGAGAGCTAAAGAGGTTTTCAGGGGATATCACCTTTCCTACGTACATGGATAAAAGGGTTTCAAAGGATTCGTAAGATGTTCTTCGTACAAGACGAGTGAGACATTCGGTAACACGCAATAACCACGTCACCTATAAGCTATGGCTAGCGTAACTATACAGGGGACTCGGCTCTCAACAACGTAAGCTAAGAATGGACTGAACAGTGGGCGGAAGAATAGGCTAAGTAGAACCGTTTAGCTTCTCAAAATGTTCACCTAGAGAAATAAATTAAAAGAGTGACTTAATTTAGTGGCAAGATTTCTTAAAATGAATTTATTCAAGAGCAGGTTAGACAAAGCCTGTATTGGACCGGTTTGGTAGGACGTATCAGTCGCCAGTTGGTAACACAGTGGTTCCAAGCGCACTTATGTTGGCTGAAGTACTATCTTTCGATGTCTGAAGACATGCGAAATTTCTCGAAAACTACCCAAGAGGTAGATTTTTTATAAAAAGATTGACTAGGAGGCGAACTGGGAAGATTTTCAAAGCACCCGTACGCAGTATGCCCACGAAGTATACGAACTCTACGAGTAATCTTAAAAGCGACAACTACGAGTTCTTATTAGTAGTGTGCTAATTAACAGCAGTTATATGCGAGTGCAATGCTTGCTGTTAGCGTAATATCATACCCTGATAGCAGCATCTCACGCACATGCACAGGCCTAGTGTGCTTCAAAATCGCATCCGCAATGCCGGAGGGGAGGTGTGCCTATTACTGTTTTGAGCCTGGCCTCCTCAGTGAGCGTCCCTTATCGCTGTGAGTTCCCCTCTCCCCTGCTCTGCCCTCAGAACGCAGTGCATGGGGCGCTGTTTTCGGTCCGGGTCACTCTGCCCTTTATGACAGTACACGAAGTTCGAGTGTTTAGGCAAACTTGCGAGCGGACATAGCAATTACACACACTATCACACGCTCAAGCAAAGTGCCGCACTCGAGAAGCCTAAGGTATATCGATTTTTCGTTG